CAGCCTTTCACAACCAGGACCACTGCAATCTTCTGAAAAATTGCTCCAAAAAGCCAACAAGCAGAGAAAGGACTCAATGTGGTTATGAACCCTGAGGTGCAAGTATGACCCTCCCCATGGTCTCACATCCACTGACCTCCAGCCCTGCTGTAAACACATTCCTAATAATAGGGCTCGGAGATGGCTGAATATGGTGCTGGATGTGTGCTGTGGACACAGAATTAGGATGTCCTAGGCAGGATATCCTGATACGTTAGCCACTCTGGGATAAACCTTTAACCTCTGAAGAGGGATAGGACACAGTGCCAGCCTCTCTTCTGTGAATGTTTTGCAAATACGCAAGCATTCTGCTTTCTTCCAAAGATCACATCGGCTGCTGAAAAAGATGCACAGGAAGAAAATCTGGAATGATAAATAGCTCCTGCATCTTCCAGATCACTTTGCTCTCAGCTGAGATGAGAGGCATGAGGATTCACAGCTACCTAGTTGCTAGCAGGCTGCGTTTACATGATAGTAAGCAAGTGGTAATGAAGACCATAGATAGGTCTACAAAGAGTGGTATATAAACTGGTCCTACCTTTGCCTTCATGAGGATGTTGACCAATAGATTCAAGTAACTGCATTTCCACTGACCACAGGACAGTTCAGGTCCAGGATCCTCTTCTCCCTACACTACTGTCATGAAGCACCACTTCACAGCATGGGAGCATACTCAGGTCCCCAGGGTCAGCATCATTGCCAGCACAGAGAAACCCTGTCAAACTGCACAATCAGCAGTCCCAATGGGCTCAAATGCTTTGGGAAAAGCTTCTTGCTTGATCCCAGACCCTGAGCATGCGACTTGTTCTACAATAAAGATTATAGTAGCTTCCTTCTTTCATTTCTCTTCCATAGTTACGCTTCTGTTAAATTTGTGCAGTCATAGGACCAATTACAGAAACAAGACGAGTAGAGCAAGAATAGCTCTATTTATACATTACCTACGGTAAGAATGGGAAATACGCCAACAGCCATATTGTCTTCACAAGCCTGGGGCTGTAAGAGGGGACACTGTATGTCAGCTAAAACTGTTCTACGGGAAATGAGGCAGGTCATAAGAAGTTACACTGCAATATATGCCTGCCAGTTTGCAGCAGTACAGAAAGAAGGTGGTCATGCTTAACAGGCAATAAAAGATCTGAAAATTATATATATACGTATATATATATATATGGGAAAGGAATTAAAGGAGGCAAAAAGAAAACCTAAATTGGGAATGATGCACGTTATGTTTTGTGGTTTGTTTTTGGTATTTTTAAACAACAGTATTTTGGGGAAATCTCCACCTTAAACCATTACGTTATTTCAGAAATAAAGCCCAAACCCTTAGCTTTAACCTTGATAGTCTGAGGCTAACCAAACTTCCAAGAAAATAGAGAAAAATTACTACCTTCCAGTAACTTGCACTGGCACAGGTTTCAGTTTTCCTTTAGCAAGTACTTATTGGAAGATTTCTGCTTCTGTATTTTATAGTTTTTAGCAAGCAACTGTGCATAAAAGCAGAAGCAGCTGGACTGAAGGACAGAATCGCCTAACACAACTTCTGTGTGAGAAAGAAATCCATGTCCAAGGTCTCTATCACACGGCACTTGGATCAAATGATGTCATCGCCTTCCCAGTTGTTTTAACGTCATTAGCTGTACACGTTTTGCGTGGTGAAGAGAAACAAAATACAGGATTTCCTGTTCTGCTACCACTCTACTGGGCTGCAGATGCCGGCAGGATTCCAGTGCTCTGAAAACATGTGGAAGTTTAACAAGGAGTCGCTGGGGCTGGGATTGCTGCGAGAGTTGGTAGGAAATAAAAGCAGAAAGCTCGCTCCTCCTGCTCTCTAGCATGGATGTCATCCCCCCGAAGGATGGGAGTCACGGGAAGGTAAGCTGGATTTTGCTGTGTGCTTTCTTCAGTAGATCGACGCTATTGCAGTTTTGAGCAACGTTACCTATTAGTTTTTTTAGCTCTTCCTTGAGAGATCTTATCAGGCAAAAGCTGGTACAACATCCGCAGCAGCTTCTGACTGTGCTCATGTACTTCTGCCTCGCTCGGCTTCAAGGGGTGGATGAGTGGAGTTCAGTGCATCCAGGCAGGCTGCTGTGTGCAGCAATACATGGGGAAAGCCAGCTTTATCCAAAATACTTCAATTTTGACATTACTGACAGAAGCTGCCATCACTGACCAGCTCTGTTTATGTATTTCCTATTAGTGCCTAGATTAAACAAACAAGGTTATTGTTTAAAACATGAGTTCCAGAAAGCCTCTGCTACCTCAAATCAGAACCTTATTTCAAGCCAAGAGTGTATTTTTATTTCCTGAACTGCTTTTCTCTCCAGCATCCCAGGCCTGGGCAGGGTTGAAGGGAGGCAGCTCTGCTCCACTCCCCCAGCTCTGGGGCTCTCCCAGTCATGCCTGGAGTGCAGCTTTAGGCTGGTTTGTCCAACCAACCCATGGAAAAGATGAGGATGAGCTTTGCTGGTGGATTTGGGAGCAGTAAATGCAGTACCACAGCAGTGTAGGGCTGGGTGGGGTGCAGGGTGATTCAGAGTACCGGGGCAATTTCCAATACTGACAGCCACATACGTCTCCAGGAACAGATACTGCTAACACTCTCAGAAAAAGAAATACAAGTGTTTTAATAGCTGCCTTAACCACCTAATTAATTACAAAGTTAATTGATGTTTAATGAATTGTAATGCTGGAGCCATAACCTGTGGTCTTACTCCTTTGACAATGATATTAGTCTCCCCTCTTTAATTTCAGTGTGCAGCTGGATAAAACTCAGCTTTGCCACCTAAAAAGCCATCCCTCTCCTCCCCAAGTCCTGACCATGCATATCTGTGCATGGATGAAAGAGGAAAACAATCAAGGAATGGCAGGGAGTATTAAGTATATAAAGTTGCTGAACAAAACCCCTGCCAAAGCCCATGGGAGCATCTCTGCCCCGACATTGGCATCACCAGCAGCACAACACAGAGGGAGCTAGAGGGGCTTGGTGCAAGTTGCAGATGAGAGGGAAAGCAAAAACTGGAAAACAATAATAAATACAAAAAATCAACCCTTTCAGGAAGTGCTGCAGTGAATGGGCACTGGCCTGAACCCAGACCAGCAGTAGCTCAGTGGGAGCTCCACCTAAGAACCAAAAGTGTCAGGTACCAGGAGTAACACCCGGCTCTCCCAGCAAGGAACAGGCATTACCGCACTCCCAGGGAAAGCCAGCAAGGAGGCTCCCCATGGTCACACCTGCAGAGACACAGATTAGTATTCGGGCTGAGACACATGGCAGGGAGGTGATGGTGAGAGAGGGACACCAGGCATTCTAATCCTTCCCACAAGCCCAGACCAGAAAATGCCACCTCTGTCACTGACAGACCATGACAAGAGCTGGGAATAGCTGCATTCCCAGCTTTTTCCTCCCCATTTTCTGCAGGGATATAAAGACAAGTTGTCCTGCTATTATTTTTTCCCAGGGTTAAACAGATTCTGTGCAAAGGGCACCAGCTAAGAGCAGGGCCAGTGCTGAGCACGAGTCCCTCATGATTTTCAGGCAGGTGAGGATTACACGGGGATGCTGCGCAGACCTAATAGTTTTGTTTGCCAGTGTCCCCTTGTGACAGATGTCTCTGCTCCCCTGCATTGCCTTCACCCTGCCCCTCAAAGCAATGCTGGGCTCTGCCAGCTGGACCCTGGGTGCAGGCAGTGAGCTTTTAGAAATCCATTGCCATGGCAAATGCCAGGCTCAGGGCTGTGGGAAACAGCACCACTGGCTGCTTCTTAGTTAAATACCACTGTTGAGGGGTTCAGTGGCAACAGGAGTAAGTGCTCAGGGCGCTACCAGATCAGGCTCTGGTCTCCAGAGGGGAAGGGAAGGCTGCTCAGCACTTCGTAGGCAGCTACAGGCTGCTCACAAGGGAAAACTGCACTATTCTGATGCAGATGATGCCCTTGGTTTGTAACCTGCTGCTGCAGAACTACCTCTTCCCTAAAGAGCAGACCATTTCCCCTGAGCTCTGCTCACAAATAGCAGAATCCATCACCTGTCTGGAGAGCTGCACAAGTACCTGTGAACTCTCCATGACCCACTAATATCCTCAGCTGGCTGGATGAGGCAAAATGGGCAAATGGATGAAAAGAATTTCTACTGTAACTCAAAGACAGATGTATTTATCTTCCTGCATGTCCTGAACTGTTGCTGGAGGATAATTTCAGTTGCTACAACACGATGCCTGCACAATGTGCCATGAGTGACAGAATTGAGTTAGAAGGACCAGCAGAGCAGCTGGCATGTGTTTGGCCAGCTATTAGCTTATAAATCCAGCCTTAAATCTGGAGCCAGAGCTCCGATTGATCTGTCTGCACCTCTTCCACTGGCCTCTGCTCTGGTCAGCTGCCTGCCAGCACCATCGTTTGCTGATGCTAGTAATTGCCCTCGCTGCTGATTATATCAGATTTCTGCATGGATCAAAAAAGACAGTACTGAGATCCATTTAAAGTCCCTATTTACAGCCCCACTAAGATTGCTTGTAACATAGAGAGCACCAGTTTGATGGGACACAGAAAACTACGTGTAATAAACATGGTCCTGAAAAACCCCCAGGGAGGTAGCATTCTGGCATTAGCAATAAAGAGATTAATGTTATGGAGCTCAATTGCAATGTGACTAATTGTGGCATCACCTTAGAGGGTGACAGGGTACAAAATCCTGCCAAGCACATCCAAATGGAGCTGTGTGGAATATGCCCGGAGTTGCTGCCTGTAAGTGGGGCTTACGCCCTTTCCAACACACACTCCGCCTTGCACATACACCTACACACACACTGTACACACAACTTACTCTTCTGTACTGAAGTGCATTTACTCCATGTGGGAAAATACTGGAGTTTTTGGCTTTACAGAATCTGGTTTTACTCCTTACAGAAACTCTCTACCTGCCTTAATCGCCCCATGAGGAAAGAGACTCAGCTGAGATGGAGAGCAACACATCCTTCGGGAACTGTACTGATCCCCAGATGTCCTTTCAGTCCACCCTATATGCCACCACATACACCCTCATATTCATCCCTGGCCTCCTGGCAAACAGTGCTGCACTGTGGGTCTTGTGCCGCTTCATCAGCAAGAAAAGCAAAGCCGTCATTTTCATGATCAACCTGGCTGTTGCTGACCTGGCTCACGTCCTCTCACTGCCCTTACGGACGTATTACTACATAAACCACAGCTGGCCGTTTGGAAGCTTTCTGTGCCAGGTGTGCTTCTACCTGAAGTATCTCAACATGTATGCTAGCATTTGCTTCCTCACCTGCATCAGCATCCAGCGGTACCTCTTCCTCCTGCATCCCTTCAAAGCCAATGACTGGAAGCGGCGGTACGATGCAGCCATCAGTGCTGCTGTCTGGCTCTTTGTTGGGGCAGCATGTTTACCCCTGCTTGTAGTGAGGAGTCCGACCTTGTCCAACAGCATAAACACATGCTTCTCAGACCTGGGGGTGAAGCAGCTGAGCCCAGGAGCCTCCATTGCACTGGTGACAGTAGCAGAGCTGTTTGGGTTTGTCATCCCCTTCAGCATCATTGCTTGCTGCACTTGGAAGATGTGGCAGTCCCTGCGGGAGGGCCCAACTCAGCTGCAAAACACCAGTGAGAAACAGAAGGCTTTGCGCATGGTCTTGATGTGTGCAGCCGTCTTCTTCATCTGTTTCACCCCCTACCACATCAACTTTCCTTTCTTTATGATGGTGATAGAGAACATCATCCAGGACTGTGCTATTCACAAGAGCACACTCCGCTTCCACCCCATCTCCCTCTGCCTGGCGAGCCTCAACTGCTGCCTGGATCCGGTCCTCTACTACTTCATGACCTCTGAGTTCCAGGACCATCTGCTGCGCCACAGCTGTGTCACCCTGCGAGCTTGGTTCACACGCCGCAGGAACCTCTCCATCGCCAAAACCGGCCACGACATTCGCATGAAGAGAAACCTTCCAAGTCTCAAGTTTTTGTCTCTTCCAAAGTTCTTTGGCCGAATAAACAGCATGGAAATCCCCGCCATGCCACCTGATGAGCTTCTGTTGGAGTCTATCTCTTGAAGAACATAAGCCAGTTCCTGTCCCTGTAGGTGCTTCTCATAGCTTGAGTGAAGATTATGTTAGGTCTCCAAATATGTCATTACCCTTGAGTGCAACAGATGCCAGGATCTGACCTAGAAGGACATTTGAATGCAAAAGACTTGCTGGTTGATTTGTTGCTGCTGGGGACTCTTGGTCTTACATAGTTCTCTGTTGTGATGTTAAAGTACCCAAAACAGCTGTCATGATGTCAGTAATTCCCCTTGCTGAACTGCAGCCAGGTTCAGGTCCCTTGTTTCTCTTGTTTGAGTGCTTCTACATACTTGCCATTTGTTAAAATCCTTCTGAATCCTGAGTTGTAAGCAGGCAGCTCAGCCTCAGCACAGCCTGGGCAGGTAGCACTGGGGGAGTTTCGGACCCCAACTGCAGATACCTGTGGCTTAAAGCTTGCTCTGTGCTCACACGAGGATACAGATGAGGACAGTTCATTATCTCCATGTAAACTGAACCTCTTCTCATTGCAAAAACATCAATCACCTGGAGCTAATCTAGACTGTAATGCTATAACTTTACCAACATATATCAAGCAAAGAGTATTAACCTAAATTCACATCAGTGTTGAAGGGAGTTTTCAAGCAAACTGGGCTCAGCTCCCACTACTGAAAAAGGCACCCAGAGCCAAGCAAGGGAGTCTGCCTGGCTCCTGGGAGTTATGGAATGCTCAACTGATTATGGGGGGATGAATACTTGGAAGACAGACAATGACTGGATATGCCATGGAAAAAAAGAGGAAGGATGAAGGATGTCTCCCAGAGTACATTTACTTGCAGAGACCCAGGACAAGCCACAGAAGGGAGGACTAATAGTTGGTGTTGCCATGTCTTGTGTTGTTATTAGAAGTCTTGTGTTATTTGGCATTTTGCTAAAGCCTGTGGTTGAAGATTAAGATGTTATCCAAGACTCTCAGTTTTGCTTTAAAAACCAGAAAAGGTCCCAGCCTTCACTGGGTACTGAGAAAAGTTTACAAAACTGACCCAAGTGCATCCTTAAAGCTTCAAACTCGGGAGGAAATAAAATGATCTCAACGCATATTTTAGCATCATGGTTATTACTTTAAGTGCTTGTAAATAGTCTCATTAGTCACCACGTCTGCTCTCAGAGCAATGACAGTCTGCAGAGGGGGACACTCCACTTTGGGACTCAGGGGCCTTGTTGCCACTGTGGCCCCTCACACAGCAGCCAGCGTGGGGGCTGTGGGGTTTCCTCCTCATGGGTTAAGGCATTGATGGCTGCAATGCCAAAAACCCCTCAGAGAATTACATAAGTAAACTTAGGCAGAGGGGGTTTGATCGAGAACAGCTTTGCCGATAATTGGATGCACATTTCCAACCCATGCAGCATTTCTGGGAAGCATGGAGCAGGCGGTGGTTTACACTCGCATTGCCAAGGTTGGTCTTAGATGAGAAGAGATCCAGACAACCTGGAAGAATTTGCTTTGGTACTTACAATGTGCCAGAGACAGGCAAAACACAAGCTGTCCTCAGGCTCGCTCTGTCCCAAATTAACTCCTCTACTCAAAAGAAAAAAGAAAAAGGATAATAAAAGGACACATTTTCCCTGTTTGCTTGTATGTCTGTGGGGGGGAAGGAGCTTTAAGGACTGAAAAAACCCAGCAGTGTGCCCAGGCAAAACAGGAAACCTAAGCAAAACCTCCCCGATACCATGGCTGGCAAGACCTGGCTCCGGGCAGCTGCCACAGACAGGACAAGTAAAACCACCAGCACCTTAACTGGGAGCATGGTTTTATCCTGTGAGTCTTTCAGGAATGGGACAACCCTGAGTAGCTGTGGTTGACACCCAGGTAGCTCTCAATAACCACAGCTAGATATTTAGAAGTCCTGCTGACTGGCTGCAAAGCCCATTATTGCACCTCCAACCTTACCGGCAGCTCCAGATCCAGGTTTCCCAGTGGCTCCAGTTACCACCGGGACCTTGCCAGCTTGTTTTCAGATTGCACAGCGTTTCCGAATTTTCTGCAACGTAACTTCCCCCTTCCAAAAAGAAAACAGGAAAGAGAAAGCAAACCAAAACTCTCACTAATCTGTCACGCAGAAGCATAACCTCAACCCTTACTCTGGCTGCCCCTACTGCTTCCGGGGCTTGCCAGCACTGCAGGTTGCATTGGAAATACAGCAGAAAAATCCCTTCCTGGGTTAGATGCACTGGATAGCAAGGATTTTGCTAGCTTTTACACAAACCAAACCCTGAGGGAATATCTTTTTCCAGTGCAGACCGGTGCTTTCTGCCCTTCAGAGGCCACAAGATGCCTGCCAGCCCTCCTGTTTTATTAGAGTCCACCAAGTTTCTATGATTCTAAGTTCCACTACCACAAACACATTGGCTAGGTGCCAGGACCCAAACTGCAGGGATTTGGGGCCACCAGGAGCCTGGATGCTGCAGAGGGGGATGCAGATGGGCAGGGATGCTGCTGGTCCCTGGTACGAAGATGAGAGTGCTCAGGAATTGTGCGGGCAGCAGGTCAGAGTGGGCTGTGGGATGTCTGGCTTTACAGCATTCGTAAGAAGACTTAAGTAAAAAGCTGCTCCACTGAAGATTTGCTTTGCCTAGACCGAGGTGTGAACCAACTTCTTATACGGGAAAAACTCACGTCTGAAGAGAAGTGAGAGCAAGGGACTGGGAGCTGCCATGCGGGGAAGAGAGGGAGAGAGGGCAGGGTGAATGAAGAGCTTTTCAGGATTTCTTTCTCAAAGCAAAGAGCAGCAAAGCCAACAGCTCAGCTGGACCTCTGCCAGCACCCATGACATCCATGCACCCTGAGCTTTTCACATGCAGTTAATTATTCTATATGGCTTAATCCTTTATGGCTGGCTGTAACTAGAACTGCTTAGTTGCTTTTATATGTGTGTGTCCATCCATATACACATACACCTCTGCACACACACTACATTTACATATACATTAAATTATGCAGTACTTGGGCATATCTAAGATGACATCTCTTGTGCACGACACTTCCTAAGGCGCCACAAGGGAAGAAGGAAGGTTGCTTTACTCTTTGCTAAAAATACCATTTTCCTCCATCCGTGACCACATGCTTCCAGTCCAGCCCTAGCAAAATGACTTTGCCTCTGGAAATACACTCATCCTCAGCTCCTGGCGGGGCTTGCACAACCTACCCAGTAGCAAGACTCAGCTTCTCATGATCTTTGGCACAGCGCTAACAGCCACCACTGCTGGCAACAAGCTGCTCCTTCATCCACCCACCAAGAGAGGGGGAAGCGCTGGGCCTGGCAAAGGAACAAACACATCAACAACTTCAATTCTGACTGCAACCTAAACGCACAGAAAGTGAATTTTGCTCCGTTAAACCAAGCTGAGCCAGGGAGTGGTTTTCCAGACAGTCATGATTTCATCAGGCCCAAGTCCAATTTTTGGATTCACAGGCTCAGCCAGCAATACCCTGTGAAGCTCAAGTCACTGCTGTTAAAAGTGACAGCACCATTTGAGAGACCCAGGGCTCTCCATCAGTCCCTTGTGCGCTGCAGGGTCCTGTTCACAGCACAAGGGAAAGGGGTTGGGGGACTCTGCGTCAATGCCATGTTCAGCACTGTAACGGTTAGTTCTCCGCAGAGAAATAGTCAAAGCCTCAGCCTTGCAGCAGTCAGCAAGTCCT